TGAGCCACAGGTTCGCGTCTCCGTCACCTACCCATGTGTAGCTCACCGCTCTACACGTGCTCAACTAGCTCGGTGCGGCAAAACAGACAGTGTTCGACCAACAGAAATACACAAACACTTTATTGCTTTTGGTGGCACCCCAAACAACAGTACAACGTCCGCTCCCGGTACTCAAAGAGCAAGGGCTTTCGCCCGCGAACGTTCACGATAAAAGGAAACCGCGAGCACGTCGCAGTTGGCAACGGCGAGCTTTGACACGCCGGTCGGGAAAAGGTCCCTCCCAGCTATGCTGCGCACTCTCACGATGGCCACTGGGCCTGGTCGCGAGAGTTACGGCAAACCTCAAACGCGTAGGCCTATGGCAAGTGCGGCTTGGTGTGGTGCGACCACTTCAAGCACTAGGCACCGCTGTTGGCTTAACGTACGGCACTGAAGTTAACACTCAGGTGAACACGCCTCCCGGGGTCGCCAAGGCACCCAGGCAGGCTACAGTACGGCGGTTCCCAAACGGGACGCTAACGGAGAAAACAAGTCTTATTAGGCGTCAACCAACGGAGGAGAGCCTTTCCGGCACACAAGTGACTCGGCCTCCCAATTCTCGCAGCTCCCGAGAACACGTGGCGCTCGTGGTGCCATCTAATCTATCGCAATGTGCCATTACCAGAGCACGGGAAATGAAAAGAAGCGGCTGTTCGGAGAATGGTCGCGGGCGCAACTCAGACCACCAGAAGGCACAGTGATAGCGCAATGGCGCCGTTTTGCTACAATTTCATAGACTTGTCTCTAACTGCACGCATTTAAGTGTTCGCAACTACGCCTAACTCAATTTGTTTAGCTGCTTACACGGCATCGAACCGGTCATGGCCATTAAATCTGTTTTTGCAAATGAGTTCAGCAGAGACTCGCAAGGTGGCGGAAGGGTTAAGAAAACTAAAGAAGACAACTAACCACCAGTTTTGTAGCGCAACGCCTTCAGGAAATCCATACGGATTTCTCAACAAGAAAAGCTTCTTTGTTTCTGAAAAATTACTCCTGGTGCGGGGTTTCAACCTTGGATCAACGTTTTTCCCAGGCGATCACTCTGCCAATTGAGTTAACCAGGAAGCTAGCAATTGATAGCGCGAGGGCGACTTCTCAATAACTCGAAGCACTTGGACACAAGTATTGCAAACTAGTTCTGCGGAAACCCGCAAGGTGGTGGAAGGGTCAAGAAAAGGAAAAAATACAATCATTTGTTTGTAGCACGAAGTCACAAGGAAATCCGTACGGATTTCTCGGAAAGAAGAGCTTCTTAGTTGCGTGAATTTTGCGGCCACACCTGGCCACACACCGCCCCAACATTCCAACCACGGTGTTAGTTCTTAGTTGCCAAAAAATTCATCCTGGTCCGGGGTCCAAGATAGACCAGGATGCATTTTTCTGCAACTAAGAATTAACACCGTGGTTGAAATATCGGGGAGGTGTGTGGCCAGGTGTAGCCTCAGAATTCACGAGTGGATGATTCGTGTGAGTGCTCTGCTGGTGGCAGCGGCGAAGTAGGCTTAGCTCCAGTGCAACGATGAGAGGCGAACTTGTGTGCCTGTGGGGCGGCAAGATTGAGCTTGCGAGAGTGCTTGGTGCGGTTATGGGACAACTCCTTCTCTTCGTTGGCATTTTGGGATTGATATGCCTGTGTCCATACCACCTTAAGTGTCAGCTTTGTGTTTGGACAGAGCTTGATTCAATAGATAAGTCACGGAAGCCAATGACAGACAGGTTGTATACGAGTCTTTCTTTAACAGCAGCTGATGGGTAGTTGTAATGCTTAATCATCCTTCACAGTTCTGCATAGTACCTACCAACGCTTTTGTCGGGAAGCTGAATATGCCCACAAAACCTGGACAACTCGTAGAGCTTGTTGGCCAGGTGCACGAATACTTAGTGAAGTAGGCGGCAACAACTTGGTATGAGGAGAGTGACTGGGCGTTGACTGAGAGCGTCTCAAAAAGTGGACATGATTCAGGGCCTATGCATTACTGTAGCGAGCATACCTGCATGTTTTCTGCCACTTTTGTCAGTCCCGAAAGCACTGCAAAGTCCTTGTAGAAGCTGAGCCATGTGGACCATGTTGCCGGGTTCGCGAATCCGAAAGGTGTTTGTAGCGGAAGGTTGACGCTGTTTGGTTTCGTTGGCCCAATAGTGTCAAAGAGCATTGTGCATCGTTCCGTCGTAGCCTAGCTTGGGCTGTAGGGCGTTATTCCTTCGTTACTTACTCCCCTTCACGCGATATGACCCCACTTCTGACACCATGTCTTGTGGTTAGTGCTGTAGGGGCGCGCACATGCAGAGATTGACATGTACACTAACTGGTTTGAACGAAAGTAGACCCCACTTTTTATCGGACATGAACATATATAGGTATGTAGGCATGCAAGTAACAGGGGGTGCCACACTCTGGTGGAGGCCTAATAAAAGGGCTGAATTGTCATGATCTTTACAGCTATCTGAGAGAGTAGTAGTGCCCTGGCACTGGTGAAAACGATGCATAACGAGATCTCTGCTTGGACACTACAAAATAGTCATCTCGGGTGCATTGACAGCAAAACTGCATAGTCTCATCTCAAGGTTGTGGCAATAGTGGTATGTGTGGCTAGCATCCTTGCAGTGGTAGCAGAACAGGCAGAGGTTAAAGACACACTAACATACCTGCAAACTCTTCCGGTTTTCCCATAAAATGTACCAATTTCGACCATGCTTACGATTTTATGAACCTTGCCTGAAATTTTACGAAAAATATTTCATTTTCGATAGAAAAAAAATCAAGTTAGTAAAATAGCGTGGCCTCCGTAATGGGCTACGGTGCATTGCCATAGGTAGTCGCTGAGGCCATAAAAACGACGTGCTATATTCGGCCACCAGGGGAGAACAATATAGGCCCTTTCACAGTTTATAAACACACACCTTTATTGATATCTGGTTTTGTCCGCCAATGTGCCCTAATAGCATCGGTGAGCTAGAAGAGATTTAGAAAATAGCCCATTCATTTTCTAGACTTTTGTTCCCTCATTTGGCAAATTATATTCAAACACATGCTCTTTTGAGCTACTTAATAACTATAAGAAACTCCCTTAAGTATTGTGCACGTTCCTGTTATCTGAAAAGCTAAAAAGAGCCCCGCCGTGGTGGTCTAGTGGCTAAGGTACTCGGCTGCTGACCCGCAGGTCGCGGGTTCAAATCCCGGCTGCGGCGGCTGCATTTCCGATGGAGGCGGAAATGTTGTAGGCCCGTGTGCTCAGATTTGGGTGCACGTTAAAGAACCCCAGGTGGTCAAAATTTCCGGAGCCCTCCACTACGGCGTCTCTCATAATCATATAGTGGTTTTGGGACGTTAAACCCCACATATCAATCAATCAATCAAATCAAAAGCTAAAAAGAGCTTTTCTTTACCCTAAAAAAAAAATTAAAAACGTGCTTTCAGTTTCGACGTTAGAAGCTGGTAAATGAGGTGACCAAAAGCTTTTTGGGGTACAACGCTTGTGATCTTGAAACCGTTTTTATATAGGTGATATCATCACATATCTGCCAAGTCTTCCGCATTGTCTTGGAGACTCCCATATTTCGACCGTTTCTTACGTATGTACGATTGCCATGAAATCTCCCACAACTCAAAATTTGTGTGCAAGATCTGGCCCCATTGACAAAAATGCAGGTCAGTCTGTTCCAGGCTTTTCGCGAGCCCATCGGATTTTGTCACAAACGAATTTGAGAGGCGTTCATCTAAATGTACAGTAGAGTCTCAGTGATGCGGAACCATGGCAGATATGCATTCATGAAGTTCCCCAGCTAAATTCACGTGTCTGTTGGGCCAAAGTTCGAATGTTCCGATTTTCCTAATCGCGGCGTGTGATATGAACTTTAGTACCGAAACTGTAGGATGAAGGCCGATCGAGAGCAGCGTGCTCGAAGGTTTGGAGGTATGTGTGCGACCAACGCATGCACTGTCACGGTGCGTGTGGTTTTTGTTGCCAGAACCACTGCGGATTAAACCGTGGTTATTCGACATGATCATGTACGGCGACGCCGTTACTGAGAGAACTCCAATAGTGTGCACGTGGCCAACTCTCCACCATTCAAGCAATGCTGCTTTCTGCAAACTATGTAGACGAAATTGCGGCAGTTGCGATTATAGATAGCATAAAACGACTTAGTTTTGAAGGCACGTGGATAGAAAACAAAACTATCGTTTGCCGCAACCATCACACACAAAACCACGGTCGCAGCGATACGATAGCGATCTTCGAGCTGCGAGAGCACGTGGCTGACGCAGCGGTAGATTAAAGGCGGTAAAGACAAAAAATAAAAGGCTAAGAAGTGCTTTGCCGTTCCTGTCCGTAATACTGACCGCCATTATTGGGTAGAGGTCCATGCTCTGGCTGCTGGTCTTGCAGCTTGCGGTTAGGTAGCTTGTTGCTATGGGATTGTGCTGGTGTCTTCTGTGCAGTATGGGCTTAATTTGTAGGCTGATGAAGATGTCAGGTATGTGGACGAACAAGCACCTAGCCCAGATGTGATAGGGTTATGAGGGCAAAGAAGGCTGCAGCATAACTGATAAATATGAAACTCCTGAGTGGGTGGACTTGTGCCTAGGAATTCAAAATTCAAAGTACAAAGTGTGCAAGCTGTACAGTGATAGCCGCAATGAAAGTAGTTGGCCACTGATTTTTTAGGAAATGTGGGGTCTTTTACACAGGAACGAAGAAAAATTGCGGTGTTTTCGCTGGGACTCCCATTACCTCCTCCAGAATGAGCTCGACTAAAAGTATTGTGTGTGCAATCTTGTCTTAATAGTCTAAAAAAAAAGAACAAGAAGTATCCTAAATGTTGCAGCTCTGTGCGAAAGTAGCAGTTGTCTGTCAACGGACTGAGAGCACCTCGAAGTGAAAAGCTAAGCTTGTGCATTAATATGGTCATTAGGTGTTTCCCATGAAAACATTCATAAGACCCCACTTTTGTTTGGGCAGCTTGGCCAGTTCAGCGATGACTCCTTCTGCTCCAAGCTGCGCACAGCTGTGTCCCATCATCCACCTGCTCAGGTGAGTTTGTGGATAGCCTCTGAGCAGTTTGGAGTAACTTTGTGCTGTGCAGGTGCTCTATCAGAGTGACCCCGCGCTGCCTGCTGGACTTCGTCAAGTGTTTGAGGGGCCTCTTCACTCGGTTCCTCAGCAAGCGCTCCGGCCAGGAAAGGAACTCTGGGATGTGCCACACACTCTGCGGCGTTTGCGAGAGGGTGCCTATTTTGGTGACAAATACCCTGCTGTCTTGCAGTCATTTTTAGATCCAGGTGATGAACTTTATAGTACACAGTGGTAGTAGTAGTAGTAGTAGTAGTAGTAGTAGTAGTAGTTGTAGTAGTTGTAGTAGTTGTAGTAGTAGTAGTAGCAGTAGCAGTAGCAGTAGCAGTAGTAGTAACCACATGATTGTAAATGAAGTAACGATGCAATCCATCCAAGCAACACGTGACACACTGTGGACACTGCAGATAGAGAAGTCCTACACGCATATAGAAAAAAAATTTTTGCATCACATGATTACATAAGCAATAGTAAACCAGTACTAATTGCTTAGGAAAGGACAGATTATTCCCACCCAGCAGACGTGTATTCTTCACTATCTTTCGAGATTGGTCTGCCTATTCCATTCCTGCATGCAATAACACTTTCCCTTACCCTCCCTCATTGTGGAAGAGCTTGCTTGTGGTGTGTAGGAACACTTTAATGATAAACATCAGATGTACTTCACTTCGAGAGTCTGTCTTTTTTATTGCATTTTATTTAAATTTGTTACCCTTGTGTGTGAACTAAGAACTTTTAAGGCTTAATGAGCAATCTCAGCCTCCTCTAGGCATGAAGACAGTGACTCTGTGTTGCTCTCTCTTTAGAACAAAGATCTAGCAGCACCAGACAATGCACAGTTTAGGGCAGCATTAGAAACAAGCAAGCTCCCGCGCCAGAAGTGCGAACATGAAAACAATACTGCTAGTGCTTTGTCACTAGAGGATACTAATCGTGGAGCTGTGCTTTAGTGAGAACTAGTTGACCGGCTTGTGTGAGCATAGCACAGTCTCAAGCCTTCAATGAATACTACCACAAATTTGGCTTTACTTCTAAAAAAAATTAAGGGGAGATGCTACTCGAAATACGATTTTCTTTAATAAAAGTCTGAATTTAACACAAATTGGCATGCTAATAGAGTTTTTTCTCCTCTTTTCAAATATGTCATTTATTTTCATGTAGATTGCTTGGTTTTCTTTCTGTAGGTCAGATACTGCAAAATTATGGCCATTGTTATGCAACAATTCTGACCTAAAAAATTTGAGATAAAGCATGCAGGTATAGCTGACTATGATCCTTTGGAACTGTAGAGTGCAAAAAACTATATAAATTTTGTGTGTAAAAAGGTGAAATACAATAATAAAATAGAAAAATTTACTATGGCTCTAGTTGCCAAGGGCTTTCAATGTTATGTAATTTTTGAAAAACATAATCAAGCAGCACTGACAATCTGAATAGATACTTGCACTCTATGGGCCTTCATCATGCTATGTGCAAAATTTCATAGAGGTATGACAATTCTAAGTATACGAACTAGCGTGTATAAGAAGCACAGATCACACAAAACTGCAAAAGGAGAAAAACGCATTTGAAAGTTTGAAACCTTTTTTTTTTATCACAGAGTTGTTAGAAATGCATAATCTTTGGCCATTATGTTCAACAGAACTTTGAAAAGCACTGCAAGTTACTAGAACTGTCCTGCAGCATAGGTTGTGCCCTCACGGTTCTTGCGAGCACTCTCTTCTAGCCGTGCCCTTTTCACTCCACGACGACGGTGGGCCCTTGCTTCTGCTGTCAGACGCTCGGACATTCTCTAGATGGCAGTATGTTGAGCTCTTCCAGGATGTGCTCGAAAGTAGCATGACCCTTGTTGAACCACAGAATTGCCATAGCTGCGACAGTCTCGACAACCGTTCGGGAGACAAACTTAGTCTTGGGGCAAAGTAGCCAAATTTTGCTGTTCAGGGATTCCGATGCGTTCTGGGTTTTCCCTTTGACGCATAAAGCAAGGAGCTTCTCATCCGTTAGCCACTTATAAATGGGCAAAACAGCCAATCCCTGTGCTTTTGTCAGGAGAGGTGTGTGGCGTGGTGCAGGTTCACCAAGTGCTTCAGCGCGTTGATGTTTGCACCACGACTCTGTTCCTGCAGGGCAAAACTTGTGGCTGCCAGCATTGTCAGTAGAGCATGAGTGGAAGAACGAAGCCCATACTGCAGTGTACATATCCCGTACACTCCCCCTGTTGCTTGTTATGGCAATCTGATAGTGTGTTTGGAGCTTCTGAATGGCTGGCTCTTTCATTTTCTGCCCTCGTGGTAATGGCACATGCAGCTTCCGTACCGCGATGCCAAGTATCTTGGCCACATGATTAGTGCAGTCTTCTTTTTCTATATTGACAGCACCATAGACTTTTGACTCTGCAACTGCACTATATGCTTTGCTGTCACCGTCACTCAAGAATGTCATAAAATGCAGTGGGGTGTCATAAGTCAATGTTCTCTGCCAAATGCGCATTGCAGCCTCCGTTTCCATGGCATGGGAGGAACAGTCTGCATTTTTTTCACAGACTGGGCATGGAATGCCTGCCACACTTCCTCGTCTGGGCCCATATCCTTGTGCCTACTGCATGTCAGGCAGTAATTTGATATGACCTCGAAGTCTAAGCAGAGGCCAGCAGAGGCCAGTATCTAAGGAGATAACTGCGCCAATCCCGTTGTGGCTTTTGTGGCCCCTCTTCTGCCAAGTGCCGTCGAACATAACAGCCACATCAGTTTCGCCTGCTACTTCTTTCGTCAACTCTCTGGATCGGCGCAAGTTTTCACTCACAGCTGCCATGGCAGCGAAGAAGTGCACCTTCTTTGCTATCGAAAATAATCCTCGGTGGTGCATTGGCTTTGGGAGTCCAATAATGGAGCAAAATCTCGACCATTACTCATGCCCAATGCCGACAGCGCATGCAGCCACCACCGCCTTCACATTTACAGCGAAACTATCTCGGGAGCTCCCACTGTCATATCGTTGGCTCACTCGGCTGCTGCCGTACGCCGTAACACGCAGTGGCGTATAGGAGCACGAAAGAACAGTCGCTGAGCATTCGCTGTTTTCGCAAGGAAGTTCAAGGAGCGACGAAAGTCTCTTGCGCTTTTCTGCCGGCTCCTGAACGGCAAGTTTTTGAATACCGCAAGCAGGCCATGCCGCACCTGCCAGAAGTGCCGTCAGCAAGAGGGTGTCGCACAAAACTGTCGTTGCACAAACCTCATCGCGCTGTCTTTCGTCTTTTTCGAAGAAGCCGAGCTTCTTTTCCGAAGCACTGACGAAAGAAAGCGCAGCGTCTATCCCTTCATCGCAGCCACTGTCGCTCGCGCACTCGTCGATGCCGCCGTCAGGCCTAGCACACGTAGGCGCGTTCTCGTTTGTCGCCGTCGTTCGGGGCGCTTTACGCCGCCTTCCCTTGAACTTGTGCTTCGTTCGAAACTTCTGCGGTCTCACGTTGCACTTTTTCGGGCTTTTCATCGCGGAAATATGCGTAGACGCGCAGAAAAACAGACGGACCAAATGTCAATGGCCGCCACCAACACAGCTGACAATGACTCGGTAGCCAATGGCGATGCAGCTTAGGGTGCCGCGCGTTTCAAACCGCTCAAACCACGTGATAAAAAGGCCTTGTTTTTTATTTTTTTGCCCACGTACGAAACTGGCGGTCGTCGGAGCTGTAAGAAGAAGGCCGGACGCAACTTTCCCAACCGATCGCGATGGCGAGCCGCACTGCGACGGGGAGCAGCGCGCAGTCAAAGATGGCCAATATCGGCGCAAATTCACGAAATTTTGGGCCACCGCGATGCCTTCATACACATTTTTTTTGCATTTTGCGGTTCGAATTTAGTTTTGAAATTTTCACAGATGAAAGAAGAAGGTTTGAAGATTACAATGCAATAAAAATCAGAAATACGAGAAATTTCGCTAAAAACGCGATTTTTCGACTCGCATCTCCCCTTAAGCATAGCATCTCAAGGTATGTACAGACTGTTTCAAACTTAGCGGAAATCTAGAAGCGCATGGCATCGTGATGTGGCCAGCACTGCAACCACACACCGTTAGCCCCCTGCGCGTGCACAGAGGATTCAGGAGTGTAGTTTTTAACAGTGTTGTCTGCTACGGTGGCTCTTGCTTGCGGCATTGCTGGCCAGCGCGCTGATATCATTGTTAGGGCAGGTTGATAATCTGCAATAAATGTAGTGCGACGCCAGCTTCTCAGCCTTTATTTGTGATAACGGGGTGCTGCAAGCAGAATTTGACTACATACCTTGTTTGCTCTCTCGAAACGCCATAGTGCTGCGTGCGTTCATGAATATTTCTTCACAGTGTGTGCAACGCAATACACTTAGACGAGGAAGACACGACAATGAGCATGCAATGTGCGCAATGCACGCAATGTGCGACAAACGCAAGGTGGTGTAGTTTTTACAATAGCGTTCAATAATCTTAAGGTGCCCTTTCCTTGGTATACAAAATATGATAAACCAGGCAAACAAAAACTGCTCATTACGACTTTTTTCAGCAGAATCGAAAACATGTGCAAAACGAAAAAATTGCAAAAACTTATGGCAGACAAGCCTGTGTTTTATTGACCTCAATCTGGATCTTGTGATGCCACGCCCCCATCGTCAACAAATGGAACATGCTGTGGCGGAACACATCGCTGACACCGTGCATTCACTGCCGTCTAGAATGAGCCCCATCATTACCGCTGGGGACATGAACTTGCGTCACGAGTACATTTCGAAACCAGGAGCGACTCTTTCCAGTTATTAAATATCATAAGGTGGTTGTTCTATCCGAAATCATGCCTCAATTGATTGCCATTTGTTTTGTTGTGTTAAACCCACACAACTGCTGAGCATTCACCACTGAGTGCTGTGATTTATTTAAAGTCAAATAGAGACCACGCACGGTGCATGCTCATGATCGTGTCTTCCTCATCCAAGCTTACTTCGGCGCGCACACAATGAAGAAACATTCGTGATGTTTCGATAGAGCAAACAAGGTATGCTGTCAAATACTGTTTCTAGTGCCCCATTATCTTGAATAAAGGCTGAGAGAGTGGCAGCGCACAACGTTTAATGCAGAGAAGCGTTGAAAGTTGGCATTGGTACGGGAACATCTGACGAAACTACGCAGCAAGACGGGACATGAAGAAAGAAAGCATGTGCGAGTTGGTTGTTCCCAATTGTTTCTTCGCATTCCATCTTGCAGCGCAGATTTTCTGAAAATGATTAGTGCAGAGTATCAGCCCAGTTCCCACATTAACAAGGATATCCGTGTGCTAGCCCAGTGGTTCTCATTCATAGATGGTTCGGGAACCCCTTGTGGACTGGTGAAAGTGATAGGGGACCCTTTGCAGCAGAGGGGAGGGAGGGGGGATACGTAGGTTTAATAACACAACTGGAGCATGAGACAGGCGCCTTTTTTTGCTACCAAAAGCATCAAACAAACGTGCCACATCACTTCATTTTAGGCAGTTCATCAATATGTGGCGCAGTCACACTTAAACAGAGTTGCATACCTGAAGGCACATTCAACCTGTTTCAGTATTACCTTTGAGTCACGGCCGGGCTGAACTCCAAGCAATGTATAAAAAAAGCGGTTGAGGGTTTCGCGAATCATAAAAGTGGCTTCGCGGACCCCCCAGGATCCGCGCACACCCATTTGAGAACCACTGTGCTAGTCGCCAACGCGACACGCGTTCTGTCGTAGCAGACGATGCGGTTCAACTTTCAAGCCTCTTAACATCTGCGCGCGCGTTAGCTGCTGCTGGTGCGCGATTGCAGTGCTAGTCACATCGTGGTGCCGGGAGCTCCGAGATTTCCCCTTAGTAGGAAACAGCCTGTACAAGTACTACACTGTTCTGAAAGTGCATACTAGCTGTTACTTCTGTCCTGCTTTTTAAAGATCACTACACACAAGGGGTGCGGCTCTTGGTTATGCTCTCTTATTTAAACAGCTGTGTACTTAATTTGTGCAGCTGACTCCACGAACTTGACTCCCCAGGAGAATGGCTGTCTTGCTCTAAAAGCCTTGGGTGCCTGTGTTTGGTGAGTCCACTGTGCCCATTATACAAACTATTCTAGCTACAGAAGTTGCTGTGCATATGAATGAGAACTCACTGACAATGATGCCAAAGGGATGTTAATAGTAGTAATTGTGATTAGGCTTGTGAGAATAGTGAATTTCAGGTTCGAAGTGAATTCGAAGCGAATAGTAATTTTGATCGAATAATTACGAATCGAATTTGAAAGGTTTGTATGACATATAGAAAGAGGAATATTTTTCATGACCTAACTAACCTGCACAATATTTCTTTTAAATTGAAATAGGGGCTCTATGCAATGAATGAATGAATGAATAAACATTATTTAAAGTCTGACAGTTTTCACCGGGCGAGGTGGGGGAAGGGGGGGTTAAATCCTGTCCCTTCCCACTCTCCGCCGAATATGATGGCGGTGCCCCAGAGGACCGTTCAAAGTCCTTGGGACTTGGGCAGCATCTTCAGCTTGCCGGACGGGGCAAAGCTTGTTGGCCTATGCAATTGCCATTTTTTTTTTTTCCGTTCATAGGAAGTCGAAACAACCTTGACTTGTAGTTTCGGTAGGATGCCAGTGATAACCTCTAAGATACTTAACGTCTGAAAATTGATTATACTTGGAGCATATGAGTTATCATAACAAGCTTATTGAAGTGAGGAATTGATTTAAGGGTAGCATGTTCTTTTAAAGGGGGCCTGCAACACTTTTTTAAGTAGCTATGGAGCCAGTAAACATGTTTGTTGCCTCACCAATTTACCGCGGCAAAGTTTCTAGAATCAGTTCAGTACGAGCGGAGTTCTAAAAATGTCGCACGCTGCAATTACATTCTCTCTTCTTGTCCCCACGAAATAGCCGGAAGTTAAGCAGGGAGGAATGGCATGGCGAAAGAAAATACGACACATGCACTTAGTGACCTTGAGCACTTCTTTTTCTTTTTTTTTCTTGAAATGCACGAATTCTCAGTGCAATCGCGTACGTACTCGTGGACAAGCAGCGCATGGCAGCCTGGCGCCATCTCTTAAGCATTATGCGTACTATGCATGCTATCAATACAAACAGCTTCAATCTAATCCAAGCCAAGCCTAAGTGACACGGGCACAATATAAGTACAGTCGAACTTGAGTATATCGAACTCGCCAAAAAACGTTTAATAGTTCGCTATATGGCATAATTCGATATAGGCCCGGTATAGGATTTGACACAAAGGCACATAACAAATTATAAGAAAAGTACTTTATTAATATGGTGGCTTACTTGAGACCCCTACTGTGATACAAAATAGTCCCAGATTTTCTTCTGGGTCAACGACTTCACTGTCTGCAACAGCACGCACGCCTCCACGTTGTCAGAGTCGAAGCAACTGAGGCCGCAACCTTTCACATTCACGCAATAGCGGGAATGTGAAACACAAATGCACTATGATGGTTCAGTGAACTGGGAGCGCGGGGGTAAACACAGACACAAAGCAAAGAAGAGGCACACGAGCGCTCAACTAACAACTGGTTTATTCTCACGTTTGAAGGACAGATAAGTACACAAGGTTGCGCGTGTCAACAAAAATAGGATGATAGTGTGAGCAGCAAGCATGACCTTCATTCGATGCACTTGTCTACGAATTATCAATATAGTTAAACTCACAGTCAAGTAATGATAATGATGGATGGCTAATACAATGATTCTTATTTCGAGAAATGTGATATGCTTCGGAAATTTTACGCGTGGTTTGAAGCGGATGCCAGAAAAGTACACTTGTTTTTTCAAACAACGGTTGACACTTACAGGAATTGCTATGTGAAGATAAAAACAAAAAAAAAGGAGTATTTGTCAAGGAACTCAAACGCTCCCTGAGGCGTATGTTCAAACATCGCCCGGTCTGGCCGATCTACATGCAACCGTACGTTAGCGGTATGCTATACACCACTCCTAAAACACACTTAACAAAATGTTTTGCATGTTTCTGCAAACATCCTCTGCTTTTTGATGTGCCCTGCGGCCTCCTATGCACTATGAATTGCAGCACTATGACTATGAAGTTGGTAATCATGAATTATCAACTAGCCCACCTTTCCATCCTATTACACTTCAGAGGATGTAGGCAATGGGCCATCGTCAATTTCCTTATTGCTGTCGCTTTGGCTCGTGGTCGGCACAACGTCTACAATACAGTCCTCATCTTGCAGCTGATCCGTGATGGCGACAACATCGTCCACACTGACAAACTCGTCAAATGTCGATCCTTCGACAGCACCCGGGAACTCTGCCAGCTCGTTACAAACTTCGAACTTCGGCGGAAACACTTGCGGTGACTTCAGTGCTGTCGTCGGAATTTGAGGTGTCATCACCAGGCATGTGGAAGCCGGCATGTCTAAAGCAGTTCTGGATGGTCTCCTTCGTGACATTTGCCGCCGATCTACTCAACATAGAAATAGCTCCGAGCAAATCGATCTTGAGCTCCGTGCCAACACGAAGGTTTCGCTGCGACCTCTCCACCAGGCGCTTCCGATAGCCGGCTTTCATTGCGCGTATAATGCCTCGATCCAGTAGTTGTAGTACAGGCGTAGTGTTCGGGGCTCGATGTTGCTGAAGGTCGTACTGCAGTGGTGTGATGAACAATTGTCCACGAGCAGGCACACCTTGCAATTTTCGCCTACCAAATCATCATTCCACGACGATAGCCACCTGCCGAAAAGCTCCCCGGTCTTCAAGGCTTTTGAGTTTGCTCGGTAGGTAACTGGAAGCGACAGAGCATTTCGAAAACACTGCTGTGCCGTGTTTTTCCCGATAACCAGAGGTTGAAGCTCTTTCGATCCGTCTAAATTAGCTGCGAACAGCACAGACACACGAGCTTTGTTTGTCTTGCTGCTGCAAGTCTTGTCGCCACGACACGCAAGTGTTTTGTTTGGCAACATTTGCCAAAATAGAGCGGTTTCATCCGCATTGGAGATATCTTGGGCTTGATATCTTGCTGCGATATCTCGCCAGTTTTCTTCGAGCCATTTGTCTACGCTGTCCAGGTCAGCCGCTCTGCTTTCACCTGTAACAGCTTTCCCAATGATGTTGTGCCGCTCTTTCAACTGTTGGAGCCAGCTTGAACCACTTTGGAAATCGTTCCTGCCAAGCAAGAAAGCAAGGTCCTTGGCTTTTTGCTCGATCATAGGGCCAGACATCGGGATGCTTCGCTACCGAACATCCACAAACTACTTGTAAACCGCCGCTTCAACATCTTCGTATACAGCAGTGTGCAGACATCAAGCGTCACGGGCACCTGGCCTTTTGTCCGACTTGGCCCTGATGTCTGCCTTGTTCTTCAGGATAGTACTCAAGGTGCTCCTAGGAATTTTGTACACGGCGGCGACGTCGGACTTCTTTTCACCGCGCTTACGATTTCGATTTATATATGACTCGATTTATGATTTCGAGTTTCGCGGCGAACGGCGAATTCTGCCTCTTTACGCAAGCCATAACGACAGCGCCCTAACACAGTTCACAGAGCAACAGGCAACACTACCAGCACAGACCACATTGGATGAGGACTCGAGATAACAGCTAGCTGCAGGCACTCAAGCATAAAAAAAAAATGGCGCTCACTTCTACCGCCTCCGCGCCTCGAAAAAGCACGACGGCCTCTGATTGGTTGTAAGCGCTACGAGCGGGACAGGATTATTTCTTGCAGGGGGATGTTCGCACATATGCACAACTGGGTCTAACCAACTTTTTCTAGGGTGACGCCGGCAGTTTTCCCCTCCACAGCGAGGGAAGGCTAACTTGCTGGGGCACTTTTTAGGCACATGGAGTTCGATATATCTTTGTCGTTGCTATTTTCGTTTGATAAAACAGTAACTTTTGCTATATATTCTGAATGTAGATTACTCTTGTTTAAGAATTGTTAGATATAAGGGATAATTTGATATAAACGGGTTCGATATAGTCAGACACGACTGTAGAGTAAGCTACACGGCTGCGTGCGGCTGCTTTTAAACTGTAAGTGATTGATCATGCACTAAACAACAGCAACAGGGCCGCCTGTAGCCACTTTGGAGTCGACGAGTTTTGTGTTCGCTACTGGAGACGGCAGCATGGGCAGCTGACAGCCACTAAGACGCGCTGGGCCTTCCGTGCGCCTAAGACTGGGATGGATGGTAAAACTTTATTTCAACAGAAAGTAACTGTGAAGGATTTCATGTTCGATGGCCATCAGCCCAAGGTTGACATCATAAGCTGACCATTTGCGGGCTCCTGTTGAAGGACGAACGCTAACGTTACGCCTGCAAACTTAGCGTACGGTATTCGAAAACTCTTCTCTATTTGCTTGTAACTTTTGTGCCTGAAATAAATTTTGTTTTGTGTTGAACTTGTGGCTTTATTGTTAAGATAAGTCTTCATTGGTAGTTCTCAAAGCTTGTATAGCCGAAACCCACAATAACGAAACCCCGCGAGTACGAAATCCCCGCGGCAACAAAATATTGCCGAATCTCCGGCGAACGTTCATAGAAGCCCATGTATTACGTATCTCGCGGCAACAAAGTGTTTTTGGACAGCGATCCCGCATTGACAAATTTTCTACCATGGTGGGGGCCTTATTTTACCCTCCCGCCAAAGGTTAACTTTCGAAAATATGCTCGTATGCGTGTTATGCGCACTCAAAATTTATAAACGTCTGCTTTTGCCGCGCTAGCGTGGGTACCGTCATTTTTGTTTACATCAGGGGTGACACGGCTTTGGGATCACGAAAAATAGCAAAAAAAATCGATTTTTTTTTTTAATCAAGTTTTCAGTTTCTGGAACCCTTTTTCTATCTGATTCCAAAATATCTACGCTGAAAACCGCACAGAAGTGCTTCGGAAAATTCATTTCACCCACCTGGAAATTTTTCTAGAAATCGCGAGAAAACAGCGATTCTTGGGCTCATCGGAAAGAGAGTTTCTCCGGGTTTAACTTTCCCGCCTCAGCTGGCTCCTCCCTTAAAAACAAGTGCACAAAAAGCAAATGTTTGAAGGTCGTTTCGAGGC